CGTCAGGGCCTGCAAGGCCTTCTCTGATGGCCTGAACAGAATCACAAAGTTATAGCTATTTTATAATTAAATATTTTTTCTTAAATACACTACATGTATTATAATTTATATAAATATTTTCCCCATCATCTTATCTTCTCATTGCACAGCTCCTGTCTTCCTCAGTTGCTCTGCTTCCAGTGCAGCTTGTTTTAAGTAGAGCTTTTATCCAATCAGATTTCACCTCTGTGTCTCTAGGTAAGAACAGAGGCCCGAGGCCTGCAGACTCTGAAGTGAATCCATGTGCAGTTTAAGTGAATGGGGACGATATTGTTGATTGTCATAGTCTTCAACCAATCAGATCTTTAGTTTGACGTGTTGGGCGTATTTGAGCTTTCTAGGTGGCCTAGCCGAGTACGTGCAGCTCAGCATTAACGTGCGGTGTGATTGGTCAGTGGGCTAGCGTGACTGTTGTGAAGCTGAAGCTAGCGAGCAGAACTTAGTAAGAGTTCAAGTTGAAAGATATGTAAGAAGTTATGACATTGAAATGACATTTTTAGCGTTTTTCTTGGTGTAGATTCTTTGCATCTTGCAGTGACCTCAAGTCAAACTCTAAGTATCAGCTCAGGAGATTGGTTGACACCTCGGCTTTATGCCAGAGCTATATTCATACATTCTTTTTGCAGGAAATTCAGAAGATGTTAAGCATCTAGTAATGTTCTGCTCGTTTGAAGCTAACCTGCTGTTTCACTACAACCATGGCCGTGATTCTGTTACTGAGGTGAAAGAAACCAACACACTGTGATAGTGCAGCCTCTCGTGAGATGTGTGATTTCATAAATAATGCCGACAACGTCAGGACTGCTCAGAAACATAACTAAGAAAACAGCTTAATTTCAAAGCGAGCAGTAGCTGCAGGTAGTTTTCCACATCCTGAGTGTCTCTGCTGGAGTGCTTGTGATGGTAAACAGCTTGGAGACTTTATCCCCCTCCTGCTATCTGCTGCCAATACGCCGTTCACATGGTATTAAGAGGCCCAGTTACCCCGTCAGCATTCTCAACCTCTGAAGGAATGAGAAGCAAATATCTCACAGCGTTTTTCCTCACAATCCTGCTGATTCAGAGATAATAAGGGCGGCTTCCTGCGGGTCTTTTGAAATGTGTCTGTATTCAAGAAGCTGCGGAATAATAAAGCCCTGATCAGAATGCCCCTCTGAGACTCCACGGTCTCCTCCCCGCGTGTGCAGTTTTGCTTTTCTTTCAGGTCCGAACACAAACCGATCACATCGTTTGCTTTAGTAAATGCTTTGCACTTCATGTCGAGGTCCGACTGTTGAGACAGGTTCGATTACATGAGCCCAAACTCAGTGATTTAACAAACGACTTCTTTCTTTCACATTCTGGCCCGACTATGGAGGATGTTTAGGACAAGAAATCCAGTTTAAATATGTGGCTCCTGCTGAGATTGGCTTTTATTTGTCCACTCACTTATATTTAATTAAAGCTGTGGGCAAGACTACGGGGTACTTACTTACAAGTACACATGTACTTCCACCCTAATAAGGGCGAGTATTGACTATACCTTTTGCACTTCATGAGCTCGCTTCATTTCCAGATCCATAAAGATGAAATCTTTGTGGGCTTTAGCCTTCACATAAAAAAAGCTGACTTAAAGTGTCAACCTGTTAATATTTACAGCACTGAAGAAAAAGACGTCACATCGAGTGGTTGCATATATCGGCTGTACAGAGATGTGTTCTACTTTTATAGGCAACTTTTATACCACAGTATAAAACTTAGTATAAAAAGTTGCTTATAAAAGTAGAACACATCTCTGATGTCTCATATACTTTTATCTGCATTTTTTATTGGTGGTATCAAGATATTCTATCAAAATAAAAGAGACATTTTTGAAAATATGGATTCTCTTTTCTTCAGAGATGAAACCTTCATCTCGTCTCTGTTCTCTCGTGGATATGTCTGATCAATGATTAATCATAACGTGTTCAGTAGCTTGTGTCTTATTCAGCATCCAATTCTTGAAAATTAAAGAAAACACATATTGCCTCACATTTTAGATAAAAGCACAATATGCAATGCTAACTAACTATTGTATACACTTTGCTGCTAGCCCATTGCTCTGACATCTCTGTGTTCAGAGCCGTGTGCAGGCAGGCAATCCTGGCTGTATGGGGTTGTAGCTGCTGCGAGCAAAACCATACAAATAGTCCTCTCTACTTTCGTACTACTTGGTACTGGTTTATTTCCGAAACTCAAACGTAGTATAGAACGTATATCTTGCAGGAATGCATGAAGCAAAAACTCCCGTTTGTCATCACGGTGCAAGTACAATGGGACTACGGTGACACTTTGATAAACCAGCTGGATCCTTGCTACAGTAAAAGTGAGTAAAAACGGAGTCTACTGTCGACTGCAGAGACAAAGAGAAGTCGTGAGAGAAGCGTGAGAAAAGTTGAGATAAGAGAGAAACTCTCTGCTAAGCAGTCTCCTACCACCCGACTAATCACTCTGGATGAGTCCTCCCTGCATTACCGCCAGTGTGTGTGTGTGTGTGTGTGTGTGTGTGTGTGTGTGTGTGTGTGTGTGTGTG